CTATACTAAATTTGATTATATTTAATGAAAATATCAATTATTATGTAATTTTTCGATTAACTATGATTAAATTCAGTTTTCTTTATACAATTTTCGAATTTCTTTATTAATTTTGATGAAAATCAATGAAATTACCAAAATTTATGTATTTTTCTATTCACTTTGATTAAATTCTTTTTTCTTTATACAATTCTCGAATTTCTATACTAAATTTGATTAAATTCAATGAAATTATCAAAAATTATGTAATCTTTTGATTTACTTTGAATTCTGGAATTTATATACTAAATTTGATTAAATTCAATGAAACTATAGATAATTATGTAATTTTGCGATTAATTCATTATGAATATTTCAATCAATTCAACTTTTAGACAATTCATATAAAATTCATGAAAAACCATTGAGAAATTGATTTGTTTTCTATTTCTAAAATTTTGGCTATTTTTTCTACAATTTTTAATCAATGAAAAGTTACATCATCTTGGATTTAATTCAAGGAAATTGGCGACGATTCGTTCATTTTCTTAACTTCATTAGTAACACTGTTAATTGATGTGTCAATTAAGTTGCACCTATTAATGTTCTTACATCATGCGTTAAATCTAATTGAAGCTGTTAAAAAAATGAAAAAAAATTACCATGCTTTCATCGTCGACACTTGTGATTTTCATCACGGCAATATTGACTGTAACATCGATTGGTCCATCTGAAGAAAAAAAATCGATAGATATACAAATGAATGAAAATGTTTGCTTAATGAACGTTCGAAGCTTCGGTACTTGTGGCGTTCGATGGTGGCCGGATGCGGGAATCATAATTCACGGAAAGAATGTTGTCGAGTATTTGCTTTTCCTGTTTCCTTTGGTAAATCGTGGCTTCAGCACATCTGAAACGTTAACAAATATATCTATCTATGTGTGTGCACTCGAACGTTTATGGAACGGTATTACTTACAGGGTGGCGGAAAGCAGCAGCAGAACTGTTTTCACCGAAAACATCTTGAAGATTGGTTTCTCCAAGAGCCGGAGAAGCGATCTCCTCTTCTCTTCTCTTCACATTACTCCTACTATTCCACGCCTCACGGCTTAATAGAATGATTACTCTTAATGATGTGAGAGATTATCTCGTGCCGAGGCGCATATATAATAGGAGACACGTATTCGTTTCCTAAACCCACCTTTAACCCATTCATTCGCATTACAAATTTATTTAATTTCTAAGAAAAAATGTTACAATTTTATTACACAAAAATTAACACAGTTTATTAAAGAATTTGCTACAATTTAAATACCTGAAAAATCTATACAAACTATGAATGGAATGAAATGAAAAATAAAACTCTTGTGTTTTGCTTTTTTTTGTACAAAGAAAATGGGAAAAATTTGCAACATTTCGAAAAAAATGTTGGGTCCGTTTATAGCCTCGTTACTGTCATCTCTGCGTACGCGGAATTCTGCATTTTTTGTTTGCTTTGCAGCGTTAAATGAATATTAATGTCAAATGGGAGAGCCGCGTTTCAGTTTTCATGCGACCGCCGGGAATAACTGAAAAAAAATACTGAACTGAACATCAACAATGTTTCAATTTTTGTTTTGTTCCATTTCAGCACAAACGAAATTAGTAGGTCAAACATCTTGCGAGAGGAAAATTGTAGAAGTCAGAGTAATTTGAATATAAATACGAATGACCTAAGAGATGCAAGATTGTTCACGGATGTTTCTGCATATAAATAAATAATTTTATATTGTTAATCACATAGAA